GATGACTGAGTGAGGCCGAGGGCCTGACTGTGAGTGATATTGATGGGATCGAGTTGCACGCCGTAACAAGTTTTGTTTATTCATGATGGGATCAGGTTGCACACCACAGCAGGTATTATTGATTCATGATGGGATCGGGCTACGCGCCGCAGCAGGTTTTATTAGCGCTTGGGTAGGATCTGCCCCTCTGGATTCTGACATACCAGTAGTGAGCGCAGGTACCGTACAATGCTGAGTGACTGAGTGTGATGAGTGAGAGCTGAGACAGTCAGATTGAGTACTCTGAGAGTGTGACTACATGAGGTTACCATTGTGATGCATTACATATGACATGCACATTTGACATGTAGATGTAGAGATGTAATATTTCCTCATATCAGTCATTCTTGACATATTTTATCCGTGTTGAGCTTAAACCATTAAACTTGAAAGCATGTCAATATTTCTACGCGTGGTTAAGAAAAATAAAAATATTATAATTATGTTACATAATCACATAAGGAAAGAATTTTCATAAGGTAAAATCTATTGATTTTGAAGTTTCAAATATTAAGATTTTTTATATTTTATTTTAAATAAGGAAGGATTCAATATGTAAATTTTATAGAGATACTCTGACTTTACGGAATTATTTTTTTTTTGGTCAAAAATAAAAAAAATTATTCAACCAATTGTATATATATACATCCACTAGTTCTGTTTAGACTCACGAACTAGCCATCTCTATTCATACCTATCTAAGAGCATTCACTATTTGTATTTATAAACATACTATCTACTCTTAGCTAGGATAACTGTTTAATCCATCTAATATCTTCCTCCATTTCTTGTAATTCTGCCTTCTGATGTGTAATTGGAGAACAATTTCTTTAAGTCTATGATGACTTTCCTGCCTTTCATTCTGGAATCTAGCATTTCGTTCACTCTATATGTGATAAACAGTTGCATCAAACAACCATGCTAGTACTTCTGCTTTAGCTCTGTTTCCTCGACTTCTCTTGGACATCCAGTTCACTTCCTCATTCCATGCCTTGGGTTGTCTACTTTCACCCATCCACCTCAGTAAGGAGGTCCAGATATGTCTTGCATAACTACATTCAAAGAACAAATATGCTAATGTTTCTGTGACTTCCATTGAACATAACACACAATCCTTTGGGACATTTATCCCCCATTTCTCTAATCTGTCAACAGTTGCAAGTCTTTGTCTAATGGCTAACCATAAAATGAATTTATGTCTGGGCAACTGACGTGCTCCCATAGTGAGGTGTTTCCATGGAACCTTCGGATATTGTGGCTGGAAGGATAAATAAACTTTCTTAATGTTGAAGCCACCATCACTGCTGCACTTTTGCAATTCCACCATGAAGTCCATATCTTCAAACCAGCTTCTTGCATCAAAGATTTTCCTCACGAGCCAACATGCTTGTGGGGGGTCTTCATAGTAGCTAGATCTTTATTATTTATATAGTAACCATGTATCCACTGCACCCACAAGGATTCTTTTCTTGATGCAACTTCCCACAATACCTCGCAGATAACTGCTTTATTCCAAAGATTGAAGTCTATCAACTTTAGACCTCCTGCAGCCCTTGGCATACATAGTGATTCCCATGAGATCAGTGCTTTCCTTGAGGCTTCATAACTCCCAGTCCATAGAAAGGTTCTGCAAATGCTGGTGATTAGTTGTATAACTTTCTTTGGTAACACAAAGATCTGAGCTCAATATGTTTGCATTTTAAAGAGAACACTCTTGATCAGTTGTACTCTCCCACTATAAGATAAGAATTTGGTAGTCCAACACCTGATCCTTGATATCATTTTCTCCACAATTGGCATGCGTTGTTGAATGGTGATCTTTTTGGATGAGAGTGGTACACCCAAATATTTGAATGGCAGCTCACCTAATGCAAATTGCATTTCATTCAGGATCTGATCCTTTAATACTTGTGGAACACCAGAGATGTATAATGAACTTTTGTCCAAATTTGCCTTCAAACCAGACAAACTAGAGAAATGATTGAAAGCTTGAATCATCAGTTGTATGGAATTCTATCAGCCCTGCAGCACATAAGCAAGTCATCAGTAAAGAAAATATGCACCAACTTCATTCTACTACATCCAGGGTGATAATTGAAGTCCGGGTTATGTTGCAGCTGTTTTAAGGATCTGTTGAGATATTCCATGATCAAGACAAATAGATATGGGGACATGGGGTCACCCTGTCTCAGTCCTTTCTTTGCCATAAACTTTGGAGTGATTCCACCATTTATTAAAATGGAATAGCTCTCAATAGTCACACACTCCATGATCCACCCAACAAATTTCCTAGGAAATCCAAATTCTAGCAGAACAGCTTTAAGGAAGTCCCATTCCACTGAGTCATATGCCTTCCTTATATCAACTTTGATAATACATCTAGGAGAGATTCCCTTTTGTGTATAACCTTTTACAAGCTCATGTTCCACAATGACATTATCTAGGATACTCCTTCCTGTTATAAATGCCGATTGTGAGGCTCCAACTATTTGATCTACTACCAATTTGAGTCTGGCAGTGAGAATTCTTGCTATCAGCTTATATAAAGTTGTACAGCAAGCACCGAGCCTGTATTCCTTCACATAAGTAGGATTTGTCACTTTTGGCACTAGGGTAAGAGTAGTCAAATTGGCCTTTCTTAGCATTTTCCCAGATTCAAAGAATTGTAAGACAACTACACTTACTTCCTCCCCTATTATATTCCAATATTCTTTAAATAATTTTGCATTGAATCCATCCACCCCTGAAGCCTTATCATTTGGTAGCTCTCTCAATGCCTAAAGAATATCCAACTTCGTGACAGGTTGAATCAACAGCATTTGTTGATCCCTCTGCAAGCAAGGGCCATCCTTGGCAATGTGAGTATTTAAACAGGGTAGTTCTTGAGCTCTACTTCCCATCAGCTTTTGAAAAAATGCTATGAATTCCTTCTGCACCTGCTTGGGATCTGTTAGTTTTACTCCATGCTCATTGTATATAGTTGCAATATTGTTCCTGGAATGCCTAGCTTTGAGTTGAGCATAGAAGAACTTAGAGTTTGAATCCCTATGTGTGATCCAAACAACTCTGGACTTCTGTCTAAGGACTCTCTCCTGAATTGTGGCCCATTTCTCCAATTTCAGCACTAACTCTTTCTCTTCCATAATCAATTGAGCAATGTAAAGGTCTGCTTCCAGATCTTCCTGAGTATCTTTAAGCTTTGCTTGCAGGTCCTCAATTTTTTGATCCAGCTTATTCGTCTCTTGGCTCATCTGCTTCATGGAAAGTTCTATTTGCTTTAACTTCTTACAAACTCCATACATAGCATATCCAGGTACATTGGATTTCCATATAGACTTCACCACTTCTTTGAATGAATGTTGCTGCAGTAGAACATTAAGGAGTCTGAATGGCTTTGGGAGTTTTTGTCTGATAATATTAGTAGTAAGTAGTATATGAGAGTGGTCTGAACAGCCAGGATATAAATAGTGAGCTTCTATACTACTATACATGCTAATCCATTGGGCATTGCCAAATGCCCAGTCTATCAAGCTATAGATCTTGTCTCCAGGATCCCTCTTGTTACACCAAGAGTACTGGCATCCCTTTCTTCTGATCTTACCAAGCCCAACCTCATCCACACAGTCTTGAAAATCTTGTGTTTCAATCTGTTGAACTGGTGCTATTGATACCTAATTTTGCCCTCATATTTTTAAAATAATATATATACTTTCAAAACATCATTTTTGCATCATTATTTAGTTTACAAATCTATACAAGCATTTTCTATAATTTTTTATAATTTTAGAGCTTTAAAATTGATTTTTCTATATTTAAATTTGTTTGAATAATTATTAATTGCTCCTTCAAATTATTTTTGTGATGACTTAGTTACCTAAAATTATTATTTGCACCTATAATACATGTTTTAAATATTTTTACTTCATTTTAAAAAGATATTTGCACTAAGATTCTGGGTTCTCGCTCTTTGATTGATATTCAAAGTATTGTGGAGTTGGTTCTTTCTTGTTGTCTATTTTTGTCAACTGGTAAATCTTTTGGTTTTTACAATTTTGTTCTTCTGTGTTCACGATTTGCAATTTTTACCTCTGAAATTCGTGACCTAATGTGTTCTGGGCTACTTCTGTGTGCAGCCTTGTTAATTTTTGCACTTGTTTTGAACCTCTTTAGCATTTGATTTTAAATAAAGCTGCCAGTTCTGAGATATGTTATTTGAATATGCTTCACCTGAATAATTTAGACCCTCTTAAGCTTAATGTGTTGATACCTGAATGTCTATATTTGCTGTTTGACATGAGTTTGTCTTTCCTACTCTGTTCTGCATTCCTGTAATGACTAACTCGCATCTATAATATGTTCACTGTTAACTATGATCCACTCCCATGCTAGTTTTGACACTTTGTCATGTCTTTGTTTGCTAAATCTCATATCCTTTAGAGATTATTTGAACCTTTAGAGTAGCTATCTCAACTTGTGTTTCCTTACCATGTTTGATACTGTTTTTCTTCATGATGTAAGTTAACATGTCTGTCTTTTGATATTGTGATAGATACTTAACATGATTTGGTCCCCTAGGTTCTAATACTTTAAGTTAATGCTCTACTTCAGACTCGTTTGGTATTATGCACCTTTGTATGTCAATCTTATAATCTTAGAAACTTTGATGCCCTTGTCTTTCACAAAAAATGTTTTCTGCCCAATATGCTAAGTGTTTGAATTTGTGATAACAACTTGCTCTTTGAGTTTTGTTAATTCTCTTTACTTGTATGTCACCCATGTTATGTCTACTTTCTAAAATACAAATGCACCTCTTCAAATTCTGTCCTCTTAATCACTGTTCCCTCACTCTCATTTGGTACCTACACTATTCTGAACATATCACTCTTGGCCGGCTGAAAACCAAGGCCACTAAGACTTCTCTATTGACCACCCTAGTGTGAGCATTGCTCGGGGTTCAATTGAGGCCCTTGTGAACTTTGACACACTTGGGCTTGGTCCTAGTCACTCTCTCAACCTCCAAAACTATTCTTACTATTCTACTTCCCTGTCATGTACTGTGTATCTATATTGGTTGTTCCAAATGGTGCAACACTTGGTGCTGTGGCTAAGTGAATTGGTTTGGACTTTTCTATGGACCCTTGAGTCGTGTATTGAACGTGGCTCTTTGTTAAAGGCCTGGGTACGCTGTGTAAGAGATATGGAAGGCCCAGCAATGATGGGTATTTATTTGTTTTATTTGGGCCTATTGTGGGCCTGTTCACTGTTATGTACATTGTTACTTTACTTATTATTGGGCCTGTAATAATCTTTGTATAAATAATTGGGGTTGTTAGTAAAGGAAATAGGGTAGATTTTAATATTTACCTACGACGGGTAGATAGCATGCCTATAGGACTTAATAATATGTTTGCTCTATGTATCATTCACTCTCTACGCACACCGTAGAAATTATGCCATTAGGAAAAGCACACACTCACACTACTTGTCTACTAGTAAAGAATGAGCTCAAATGCCTCCATTATCCTTGTTGCTATATGTTATTAGAAAACCTGCCCATAGAAAATAAATATCGTTGAACTTTTCTTCAATTTGCATCGCTGCAGTATATCCACTAGAGACCATGCCTATAGGATTTTAATCATCTCATTTGTTATAGTATTGCACTGTTCACCTAGAAAACATGCCTATAAAGTTAAATTATAACAATAAAATCAGTTTCAAGTGCTAATCGTTAAAGATCATGCCTATAGGATACCACAATTCACCTAAATAACTATTATTGATGCCCCTCTCAACATTGTTTATTGTTCACTTAGACCACTATCAAAAGCGTGAGTAATTCTGGGTTTCTCTTGATAGATTCCACTGTCCTCACTACATAAATCACTTAGATGCCACATCTACAGGATTAATAATTGGAAATCTGCAATTTTAACAATCAATATGCGATAACTGTACAATCCTGTCTATGGGCGACGTTTGGTTTCTGAAACTGCTTGCATGCCTTAATGCCTTGTCACACAGAAATCATGTCTATAGGGATCTAAGTTCTTAATTCTGAACTGCTCAACATACAATTTGTCTTGCGTGCATTTATTGCTTAAGTGTGGAGGCAAATTTGAGCCTTGACTGTCTATATGTGAAGTCCAATGTGTTTTGTATGTCCCCTAGTTTTGACATTTCTGAGTAGCCTAAGTGAGGTCTAGAACTATCCAAATTAAAGGTCCAATACCTCCTGGACCATAGGTATGGGACGGGTAGTGCATGCATAGGGTACGACCTATAATTGAATTAGAACGCTTTTAGGTAACAACTTTAACATAGTAATCGGGTAGCATGAGAAGATAGTCTGTGCCCGCTGAATAATATGAGTAACACCCCATCTTGAGGGAGTTGCGAAGTATTATTTATGTTGCACTAGGTGATCCTTTAGGCTAAAACACTTAGG